CGCCTTTCTTGTGGATTGGGCAGAGCACACTTAAATTCCAGTCGTCGGGCATGCGTTCATCTGACCATATTCTGCATACGAGCTGATGCATGCACCTCATCAGCTCCTCGCCGCCGTACTTGAATAGCTCGGCTGGCAGGCCGTCAGCTCCAGCAGCTTTGTTGTTTTTCAGCCGCGTAATCACTATTCGTACCTCGTCATAGTCAGGCGGTGGGACAGCTACTCCATCATCATCGACTGGGGACTCGGGTTCGTCTTCCTCACTACTTTCAGCGCATATGAATTATTCATATAAAAAACCAATGAATGAGTTTACCTTCAAATTTTTTGAGTTTGAGTGAATACTGTTCTGATATGGGTGTCGTCATAACAATATTCAAACAATGTGAAGATAAATTGAATTGAAATAGATGAAAAATTTTGTTTATGAATATCCAAAAATATTTTTTTATTTACATTTGTACAAACGTACATATGTATGTATGTTTGTATGTAATGCTGCGTTCCTATTTAAATACGAAAAGACTTGTTTGTAGCAAAAACAATAACCAAAATGAGTTTGAATTTCATTCATTCACATTCTTCCATTGGAAGGCAGAAAATTTAAAACAAAATGAATATTCATAAATTATAAAATTTAAAACGCTGAGTGTTTTGTATATAAAATAGAAAATTGAAATCTACTGTACTCTGTTTGGCTAGAAGTTTGAATCAACTCATGCAGAGGTCTAATACGAAGTTCATTAAATACTCCAATAAATATTTCTCTCATAATTAATTTAATTAATTATTAGAGAAATGTCGTATAAAAATAGCAGATGTTGTTTGCTTTTGAATACGGCTTCATCGAGTGCGCTATAAGGACGGAGGTATAAATAATTGAAAGAAATATATGTTGAATTAAATCGGTTTTTTTGTTAATGCGGTTCTTGCGTGGGTATCAACAAGGTAATAATTTAAAAATTCACAGCTCAAACTTAGAAAATTAGAACCAATTTCGCCATTTCTATACATTTTGAACGTATCACTTTGATTACCTGGCAAATGATCTGAGTTGGTCGGTTCCGTGTTACCAGATCGACCCAGGGCTCCTGGGTAAGAACCATCACCTTTTTTTTGGTTTAATATATCTCACTGATATAATCTCCTTTTGTAATGACGCTTATGCTATAACGAAAGAACTTCCTGTAGGTACGCATGTTTAACCATGCGCTTTCAAAATTATTTATATTTAGAAACTCTGTAGCTACATTATTTGCGATTTGAGATTTGGGATGATGCAGGGTGAAGAGAAGTGGAATAGATGGGTTTTTTTTGTGAAGTGGAATGAAGAGTAGGTAAGAAGTTTACTGCAAGGTTGTGCAGTTCTCATTGTAGGGCGGAAGTAGGACCAATTTTGCATTTGGCCTTCTGATTTCTCTCTTAGCTGTTTCGATGTCGACTACTCTTACTCGGTTGTCGGAACCTGGGTGTAGCTTGACTATTCTCCCCAATCTCCATTCGTTTGGGGACAGGTTTTCCTCTTTAACGACGACAAGGTCTCCTAGCTTTAAGTTGGTTTGTGGATGTTTCCAGTTGATGCGTTTCTGCATTTCGGCGAGGTATTCCGTTTTCCATCTCCTACAGAATGTCTGGTGTAGGGTCTTCAGTTTCTGCCATCGATTTACGATTGAGGCAGGACTTCCGTTTACATCGATTTCGGGTGGGGCAAGAAGATGCCCGCCGAATAGAAAATGACCTGGGGTAAGCGGCTCCAGGTCAGCCGGTTCGTTTGAAGAGTGGCCTAGTGCTCGTGAGTTGAGACAAAACTCAATACGGCATAAGAGTGTGCTGAACTATTCAAAAGTATATTTGTGGTCGGACGCAACCTTTTTAAAGTGGGTTTTGAAACTTTTCACCCCAGCTTCCCACAAACCGGCCATGTGAGGGCCCTAGCGGGTATGAAATGCCACTCTAAGGTTTGATGGCTATATTTAGTGCGGGTGCTATTGCGTGCCTCAGCAAAAAATGCTTTAAATTCCGCTCGTAAAGATCGTGAGGCTCCGACAAAGTTAGTACCATTGTCGGAGTAAACATTTTTTGGAACAACAAATCTTGCTAAAGCGGCCAGAAAGGACGGGGTGCTAAGGTCGCTGGTAGCTTCGAGGCGAATGGCTTTCGTCGAGAAGCAGACGAAAAGACAAACGTAGCCTTTAGACATGCGACATCCTCTGCCCCGGTAGGACTTGATGTCGAACGGGCCGGCGAAATCCACTCCCGTGGTTCTGGATGCAGGGGAAAAGGTTATGCGTTCTTTGGGAAGGATTCCCATAAGTTGAGTTTGCGACCGCTTCTTGTGGATCGTGCAGACATTGCAGTTATGTATGACGGACCGTATCAAGTTTTTCACCCCGGGAATCCAATACTGCGATCGGATGAGCCGCAACATCAGCTGGTTTTCTCCGTGCAAGGAAATTTTATGGATAAACTGGACAAAGAGACGGGACAACCTACAACCATACGGAAGAATAATGGGATGACGTTCATTGTGGGACAGATCGCAAGACGCGCTCAGACGACCACCAGCCCTCAGAATCTCTTCTTTGTCGATGAACGGGTTAAGAGGCAGGATTTCACTTTTTCCGTCGATGGATTTTCCAGATTTTAACCTTATATATTCTTTGCTGTAATATTGTTTTTGACAAATTGTTTTTAAGCGTTGGGTCGTTGTTTTAATTTAGTTGGGCGAAATTGAGCGAGACTCCGGTTTAAAAGAAGATTTTGTTTTGGGATTGATTCTTTGATAAAATCTCATAATAAAAGATATAACTCTCAAAGCCCGTGACAAATCAGAAAATCGATCGAGAATGTCGTTTACTTTTGTTGTTGCATGAACATGCACCCTTTTTCCTTCAATGGTTGTGTCATAGTCCGATTCTTGTGCTGGCCATCTCGAATAGTCTTCTTGTAACCAAGAACGACCCTGCCACCACAAGGAGTTGTTGACTAGATCACTAGCCGAGAGTCCTCTCCTGGCAAGATCTGCTGGGTTTGAGGCCGAATCCACATGGCGCCAATTTTTATTTCCTACCTTGACTACTAGCTTTGCTATCCTGTGGGCAACAAATGTTGACCACGAACACGGAGGTTTTCGAATCCAAGCTAAAAGTATCGTTGAATCCGTCCAAAGATTCACTTTCACCTGAACAAGATTAAGGTTTTCAACGACTGTTTCTGCTAGTAGTACTGCACCGCAGCGCTCCAACCTGGGCAAAGAAATTGTCTTTACGGAGGCCACTCTTGTTTTTGCCATGAGCAAATTGATAAAGATTTTTTCCTTTGTCTTTATCCATAGGAAAACCATTGCTGCAAACGCTTTTTCCGATGCATCGCTGAAACCGTGAATTTCCACGACGTCTGTTGGAGAAAATGAACCCACCTGGGTATGCGAATATTATTAATTTCTGTATAATCCCTCATAAAGGTTTGCCAGCGGTCTAAAATTGGGGACACGGTCTCGTCCCAATCTGTCCCTTCAAGCCAAATGCTCTGCATTATAATTTTGGCGACGATTATAGCAGGCGCGAGCCAACCGAGCGGATCAAACAGTTTGGCGATAGCTG